CTAGACCAAATGTTAGATAGATTGGCTGGAAATAAGTATTATTGGTTTTAATATGGATATATTGAGTATCACCAAATTTTAATTGCTCCGGAGGATCAAGAGAAAACAACATTTACAAGCCCATATGAAACATTTGCTTTTCGTAGAATGTCTTTCGGACTATGCAATGCACCTGCAACATTTCAAAGTTGTATGATGTCAATTTTAACAATTTTATTGAACATGGAATGAAAGTGTTTATGGATGATTTTTCTGTATTTGAAACTTTGTTTGAATTATGTTTAAATAATTTAGGAAAAAATTTGGAAGTAAGTGAAAGAATCAACCTAATATTAAATTGGGAAAAATGTTAATTTGTGGTTGCAGGAGGTATTGTACTTGGACATAAAATTTCTGAAAATGACATGAAAGTAGATCCTGCAAAAATTCAAGTTATTGAAAAATTACCACCTCCTACTAATGTTAAAGAGGTAAGAAATATTCTAGGACATGCCAGTTTCTACAGACACTACATAAAAAACTTTTCAAAAATAATGAAGCCATTATGCCAACTTCAACTTTTAGAACCAAATTTGATTTTAACGAGGAATACATAGAAGCATTTGAATTATTGAAAGAAAAATTAATCACTGCACCTATAATAGTTCCACATTGCACCTATAATAGTTCAACAAGCTCAATATATATTCTGAAGTCATCAGACAAATAATGTGTGATGCTAGTGATTATGTTATTTGGTTTGTTTTAGGACAAAGGCACAACAAAGTTTTTAAAGTAATATATAAAACTCTAAATGATGCTCAAATTAATTACACTATTACTGAAAGAGAGTTATTAGCTATTATTTATGCCTTTGATAAATTTAGACCTTACTTAATTGGAACTAAATGTATAGTGCATATAGATCATTCTGCTATTAAATACTTGATGCAAAAGAAGGATGTTAAACCAAGATTAATTAGATGAATATTTCTATTGCAAGCGTTTGATTTTACTGCAGTTGATAGAAAGGGAAATAATAATCTTTTTATCTGATCATTTGTCTAGACTAAAAAGAGAAACATTAACTAATTTTGCAATGAGATTTTAGAAAATTTCCCTAATGAACAATTATATAGTATTGATGAAATGAGTGTACCTTAGTATGCTGATATAATAAATTTTATTATAAGTGATATCTTACCACCTGATATCAAAAATTCACAATTAAAGTAATTCATATATGATTCAAAAATCTATTTTTGGGATGACCCATATTTATATAAATAATGTAAAGATCTAATTATTAGAAGATGTGTTCCTTATAAGGAAACTTTGAAGAAACTCAACAAATAGTTGAAAGATGTCATGATTCTGAATTTGAAGAACATTTCAGAAGAAATAGAACTGCATATAAGATTTTACAAGTTGGATTTTATTGGCCTACTCTTCTTAAAAATGTTAATGAATATATTAAAATG